TAAAATAAAATAAAATAAATAAATTTTTTAAAACCACGATCTTTAAAAATCTGGCAGTGTTGACTCGGCTGGGTGCCTGCACCCCAGAGCTTGTCAGAGGGAACGTTTGGAGACTTCTCTGTGGCCTGCAGTAGTGTGTACCATGCATGCCGGGAGGCAGGGCCCAGGAGCCTCGATGCTGCTGTTCGGTTTTATAAAGATCCCCCCAACCCCACCTCCAAACACCTGGCTTCCGAATTTGGGAGTCACCAAGAGTCACACCAGCTGATCTCTGGGGTTTTCTCCACCTCGAAGGCCTAGGACGCTATATCTCAGTGTTGGTTGTAATGAGAAATGTGGGAAGATATTTGGTAGGGAATCAGAATCCCAAATTCTCAACCAGCAGCCTACGGTGGACACAGCTACCTCATAAGGCTGTCACAGTAGATCAAGCACAAATGGTAAAGTCAGGCAGAAAAGGACACTTCATGCTGTAGTAGGGTCTTTGGGCTCCAAACCCCATTGTGGTCTCTTGTTGAGGCAGACTGGGTCACAGTGAGCCCTTTCACTTGAACACAGGGTAAGTCTAAGCAGCCTTCTTGTCCCCGGGTTCCTCCAGGAGTCAATATGACAACCCCAGTGTCCTTGTCCCACTCCAACCAAACAGGACATGGGTAGAAAACAGGATGTTCAAAGAGACGGTGAATCTTGAAAGAAGACAAGCCCTGCTCAGCAGATTTTGACCTCTTTCCTCTTCATGAGAAAAGTTCTACTTTGGCACCAAAACCCCTTGGTCTTGATCCTGCCAAGTGCTGGTAATTGTCCTTTCTGTTTGGATTGAGGGGAGTTGTTGAACTCCACCAGAGATGTCAGAAAGTGTCATCACACTAAGCTTCTACCCCTCAGGTCCCCGGCCACTGGGTCACTTCCATTTTCTTTCACAGTCCTTATGGCCCTGTCCGACACTTACAGACCAGCATCCACCTTCCACATCTCGTCACAGGCAGGGTGTTGGTGAACATGTCAAGCTCACGAAAACCACTGGAAAGGACGTGAGAATCATTTTGTCCATCCCCCAGCTTCAAGCTAGACTACAGCCACACGATCTCAGAGTAGACCGTAACAGTCTCTACCATTTGAGGATGGTTCCTTTGAAAATTGTGATGTCTTTCAAAGAAAAGTCATCCAAAAATGCATCCTGCTGATGGTGAATCTGACACTCCATAATTTCCTTCTGACAAAACCATCATTTCCTCAGCTGGCATACAGAAATCACTGAGGGAGGCTCAATAAAGAAAGTTGTTTTCCCTCCTGCTTTCTTCTTGCCTAGATCACTGGTAAAATGCCTGGACGTAGTAGTCACTTTGCTAGTCTGAGGACCTGATTGGTGGGGATGCTGAAGCAACAGCACAGAGAAAGCCTGTGTGTGCAGTGACATCGCTGGGCTGCCATATCGACCATGTGCTTTTTATTGCATGAGCTAATAAATGAAGCTATATGTGCTTAGGTCAAGGGTCATCAAACCCCATAAGGAGCCAGGTAGTAAGTATTTTCGGTTTTCAGGCCATACATTCTCTGTCACAACGACTCAACTCTGCTGATGAAGCATGAAACCAGCCATGAACAATTTGTCAACCATCATCTGTAGCTGCGTGCCAATGAAACCTTATTTACAGACACTAAAATTCGAATTTCATATAATTTTCATGTGTCATGAAATGCTCTTCTTTCTTTGACATTTAAAAAAAATATATTTAAAAATGTAAATTGCAGGCCATATTACAACAGGCAGTGATCAGAATTGGCCCCGTAGTTTGCTGACCCAAGGTTTAAATGCAATCTCACCTGACACAGGGATGGTGATGGTGATGTTTCTTACTGGGAAATTATTTCTGACCTTTCATGCTTTTTCTTTTTTAATGTCTTTTTCAGAGGGTCTTGCTGTTGGAGTTGGTTTTGGGGCTATAGAGAAGACAGCATCTGCCACCTTTGAGAGTGCCAGGTAAGCCAGCCCGGTGCCCTGGAGCACGGCTCTGACCCTGGTGGTGCTCCAGGTATGTCTGTTACCTGGGTGATTTCTGCACATAGCTGTTCAGCACCCTTAGCCCCACAGGGCATAGATCGGTGGAGGTGGGCATAAGGCCAGGGGACCCTCCTCCAGGGTTCCCTGTCACCACCTTGCACCTGGGTAACCAAGCCAAACTCATGTCATCCTTGACACCTGCTTTTCCCTCACCTCCCAAAGACAATCACCGGGCTTTGTAAATTCTTCTTCTCTTCTCCTTCCCTTGAATGAAACAGGGCCTGGATAAGGTTACAGCCCGGGTATCACATGATGTCCTTTAGACATCATGGAGGTGAGCTCTGCATGGTCCACCCGGCCTGCAAAACCAGGATTACTACAGCCAGGGATGGTGGAACCTACCATCCTGGGGTGCAAATGTCTCCAGGGGACTAAGGGGTGGCAAAATGAGTGGAGACAATCAGGTGGAGACAGTCGGAGGAGACAGCTGGGGATGGCGGGGACTGAGGCAAACGTCAGATAGCACAGGCACTATCTGAAGGCTCATGAATTCACAGGAATTTAAAGACATAGTTCAGGTCAGATGCCTCAAGGGCCTCTGGTTCATACTCCTACATCTATCTCATTCCCCTGCCTTCAGACTGGTGCAATCCCAATATTCTCCTTTTCTCCCCAAGGAAAGGTACCACCTCCTTTGATATCTGCTCTGTGTCTATGAGTCATGACCATTAGAAACTAATTTATCACATACTCCTTTTCCGTCCTTCCCTGGTTGCTGAACTTGCCTGGAGCCTCTTTGTGACCCAGAAGGGCTGTGTTTATGTCACTCCCCGGCATCTAGTTCCCCAGCTGAAGCAGAGCCCCTGCGTGTTAAATGTAGCCATTTAATTCTGTCACTGAATTCTGAGGCTATGTGTTAAGAGGTGTGTCTGCTCCACAAAGCCCTGAACATGTGTGTGGTCTGGTATGTTCTAAGTCAAAGTTTTCCTGCACTTAAGTTCAGACTCTGGCCTCCCAGATTCCCAAGTCATTTCCTAGCTCCAGCTCCAGCATCATCTGTTAAAATGATGCCTATTGTGAAAATCAAATGAGACGGTAGATGGGGAAGGATGGGCCTTCAGAATGTAAGAAATGCCACCCCAAACAAGGGCTCCTTATGACTCACAGCACCCTGCAGACTGCTCTTCTAGCACAGGGCTTGGGGTGGGGCAGTTTGGCTCTTGCCCCTTGGCACAGACATTCTGATCCTGACTTCATTAGACCATGAGAAACTTCAGAGTCAAGCAGTATCCACGGGGCTGAAGAGCCCAGAGGGGCTGGCGTCATACACATTCAAAGGCCAGGTCCTCCCAGAGCACAGGAAACCATACCCGCTGCAGAAGGTCTGAGCCTGGCTGGTGACAGCTGTGCCCCAGGCATTACTCTCACAAGCCAGGCTCTCAGTCTGGTGGCACCATATCCTCCGTGACATCACAATGTCAACCCAGTGTCCCTCTCTTCTGTTACCTGCACTTTTTTCTAGTATTTGTAAATATTTCCGAAGTGGAGCAAAAATATTTGCAGCCACGCTCTGCCTTTTCCTTGACCAAAATGACACCACATCCTCCGTGACATCACAATGTCAACTCCAGTGTCCCTCTCTTCTGTTACCTGCACTTTTTTCTAGTATTCATAAATATTTCCGAAGTGGAGCAAAAATATTTGCAGCCACGCTCTGCCTTTTCCTTGACCAAACAGGTTGTCTCTGAGTTATGTAAACCCTCACCTCCAGGATCCTCTAACTGGGGTTGGGTTGGGGCAGCAGGCCTTGATACTTTCATCCTCACAAGAACCTCTGCTACACAAGCATCACTGGGGGGTTATTACACACACACACCCCTTCCACTCACCATCACAGCCCATGGAGCAGAGTAGTTGGAGCTGTGTGACCGGTGCCACTGTATGCATAGAGTATTCTCAGGAAGAGAGGAGAGACCCATGCAATGCAGGCTGCAGAGAGGGGAAAGGGGAAGAGCACTGTCCCTTAAGCAGACCCCTCAGCCCATTGTCCCCACTTAGAAATCCACATATAGTTCTCAATTTGGGTTCTTCTTTTCTGAATGCCTGTGGTCTTCTCCTGGGTGAAAAGCAGAGAACCCCAGGCAAGACTTGTTAGCTTTCTCTGCCTTTAGCTCATGCTACAGACCGGGTTTCATGGATGCATAGGGACTAGATGGTAGTGGAAAGTGTGACCTTGGGTAGCCAAGAGGGAAAGACACCTGATGAATTGCAGGCTGGGCAGGCAGAGCCTGCAACCCCGCAGACTGTAGAGAACTCAACCACGTGTCTGGGCAGGACCCGTGTTGTACCTGTTTGTCCAGGGAGGTCAAGGGATGGAGTTTCCAGTTGTCTCATCATGCTGAGACTTTTGAACCAGAGTCTGTACTGTGTGTAGGGCCAGAGAGACAGCCCTGCCCAGAGAGGAAGAGGGCCATATGTTGTTCGTACACTGAGGCAGTGGCTTGCCTCAGACTACGATCTGCGAGAAACTTTTGCGTGATAACTTGTATTAAATTCACCCGTACTTGTTCTCAGTTCAGTCTTTTAGGAGGGAAAAGAGAAGGCAGTCAAACTGTAAGATGACTCAAGTAAATACTACTTAGAAAGGGACCAGACAGCTCTGCTAGGTGAGATGCCAGTGAAATCATATTGTCCCCAGGATTTAATAGGGCAGCATAAGTCAGGAACCACCATGACTTAGAGCACCAAGCAGAGGAATTCTGTGCACCTGCTCCCCACCTGCTCTGAACCTCCCAAACTCATTCAGTACCTTGGGCAGGTGTCTCCACTGACACTGCAGATGCTTAGCTTTCTTCTGAGATCTTTTGGCCTCTACTCATTCATTCGTTCATTCATTCACTCTTTTGTGAGGACTGCAGTGTGCCCCGCATTGTGCTAGTCACTACAGAAAACACTCTTCCAAGAAGCTTAAAATTTCTCATGAATACTTCAGGTAACATGGCGGACTCAGCTGACATGCAAGCCCCACTACCAACAAATAAAGGAAGAAAAATAGCTTTTAGTGCACAGCCAAGGACTAAGAAGGAGAAAGCAATGACAGATGCTGGGAATAAAAGGAGGAACAAAAGGCAGAATTGTAATTGGCTTTAGATCCTGATACAGGTTCAAGGGACTGAGAGTTGGACTTTATGTCTGTGGAGTGGATGGTGACATGGCTTTGCCCATGAGTGTTAGGGAACTAAAATAGCCCCAACATGAAGACCAGGGCTTATAAGGCATTGCCTATCTACACAAGGGGCTGTAAAACTCCACTCACTGGTCCAGGGATTTGCACATGGAACATGTCCTTTCTCTAGGATCTTGGATGGAAAGATGAGGTATAGGATAGAATAAATTATCTGCAAGATATCAAAACCCTAGACCTGCATCAGGGGTGTAGGGTACAAATTCATATACTTGATACCTTATACCAGAAACCCCAAATAAAAAAATTAACATAAAATCTGGCCTAGGGGGCTGGCCGGTTAGCTCACTTGGTTAGAACATAGCCTTGTAACACCAAGGTCAAGGGTTCAGATCCCCATACTGGCCAGCCACCAAAAAAACCCAACAAAAACCTGGCCTAGGGTAATAGAAATCCTTCAGGCTCTAGCAGGAGTGAACATAAAGCCCTTACCTAGGACTCTTCCATTACCCAGGCACACAGATGTCTGGGAGTGAAGATGGGGCTCTTAAGTATAGATAAGCTCACACTATGATAAAAAATAAAATAGAGACAAATGGCGTAAGGAAACAAACTGCCATTTAGGAAAGATAGCACCTTCAAAACTAGAAATAATAAGACTA